ATAGCATAATCAATAAAACAAATTAAAAAAAAAACAACAAACACCTGTGCCCTGGCTGGTGTGGTTCAGTGGATTCAGTGCTGGCCTGAGAACCAAAGGGTCTCTGGTTCCGTGCCCTGGCCAGTCAGGGCACATAACTGGGTTGCCAGGTCCCCAATGGGAAGCACGTAAGAGGAAACCACATATTGATGTTTCTCTTCCTTATTCTCCCTCCTTTCCCTTCTGTCTAGAAATAAATTAAATAAAATCTTTAAAAAACCCCAAAACTCTGTGTTAGTCTAAAAATATGGGCCTTATACTGTTCTTTCATATCATTTCATAGTAACTATTTTACTGTGCATGTGGTCTCCCACGATTTCCCCGACTGGCCACTGGAGACGGGTCGCACAATGTTACTGAATGGACCCCCCCCTTTTCCTGGGGGCCCCTGTACTAGGTTCACCTTGCCTGCTGCCAGGGAATTATAGCTCTCTATGTCAGAGATTGGTGAAAAGGAAAGGAATTATTTATTCAAAAGTTATACAGACTTAAGAGTAACAACTTACTGTCTTCATTCGAATCCCAAAGTCCCTCAAAACATCCACAAACACACACAGTCCTTCCTTCCCCACTTTGCACGGTCTGGGGATACTGTATCTCGGGAAAAGAAATAGAAGTCCATGGCTCAGGTAGCCTCCAGCTCTTCCCAGTAATCTGTGCTGGCAGGCCTCCCTTGGTTCCCTGCACCATCAGCTGTGTTGCTTCCATGATCCCCAGTTCTTAATCCAAAACCACATGGCACCTTCTCATGGCCCACCAGCAAGAGTTCTTTCACCCCTTCCTTCCTGCAGCATCCCTCTTGCATTCTTCCAAGCTGCTAAGAGAGAGCTCTGCATCACTGCTATCTTGCTTTCTGGCTTCCTAAGCCACGTGGTTCTTCTCTGCTAAAGCTGTATTGTGATTTTTCTCATGGCTGCCACACTGAGTTTAAATCTCAGCGCCAATCTTCCCCTGCAGCCCCATTTTCAACTCCTCTCACAATTGGCTACACTTGCCAGCATTCCTGTATTTTTCTAGCTTTTCTGAACTGCCATAGTAAGTCCAGGCAGGCATGGCCCTATGGTGTGGAGTCAGTCATCTCCAAGCTCTTATGTAAGCTCTGTAACCAGGGGGAGTTGCCTCCCAGTTACATCCTGGGTGAAAGTCACTCCCTTCTCCCCGGCTTAAAGCAAGGCCACAGCTATTTAACATATCTATCAAACCAGTTAAAGGTTATAGATATGTTAAATGACCATTCTAGAGGTTATCTGCAAAACTGTTGCTATGCAAAACAACTCTCAGTGGCCCTGCTCCATGTGTCCCACCCCCAGCTCAGACTTGTGGGGGTGAGGACATCCCATATTTTTAATATTTCCTGGACACCCTGAGTTCTGGACCCCATTACAAATCCTTTTTTTGGGCCCCCCCCCCGGCTGCACCCTCTTACATCTTGAAATATTTTATTTTACAAAGAGGCAAAGTTCTTTTATCAACTGCATTTTAATCAAGTCTATAATCACGTCATATTAAATTTGGTCATTTATAAACAGTCACTGTTTAACTCTAATTTATTTGCAAATATATCTTTGGATAGGTTCGTAAAAAAGACTCTGACTTAGTCTAAAATACAGATATCTAAGTAGATCATATCTTTAAAGCAAATGAAGATTTATAGAACCTTAAATGAATAACTGGAATCACAGAAATACTAGCAAATAAGACAAACAAATTGGTTATATGGGAGTAAAGATAACTGTTATTCTTATGACTTTGTTCCAAATATGGCTAATTTTAAGTCTTTTTGTTTTCCAGATATAAGAAAACTTGTTTCCCCCCCCGAACAATTTGTATGTTATACCCTCATAAACAATATTGAAACATTTACATTTTCTCCCTACCAAATCCTTCTAGAATTTGGAAACTGTTAATAAGTATTATTTTCATGGCAATATAATTATTTACATGACTCCAATAAGAATCTATTCTGTTTATAACAACACCAGTTTCCAAATGTGGTGTTATTAACTAAGTCTGGGTATCTCATGATCAAAAGAGTCATGACTGGACTTCGGATGTCACCAGAAAGCCTTACGGAATTAAGACTGACTTTTGAAGCCAGTAAGAGCCACTTGGAAAAATGGCTTGGCACTTTGCCTGGTCATGTCATTCATGGCAGCCTTTCCAGGTAAGGAATGAAGGTTGCTTTCCTGAAAGATGGCAGGGAATGAACCTCAGGACATCTTGGGGACCTCAAGAACTTGAAGAATCCACTAAGACTTATCGGTATTACAGGCAAAGTCAGATGGCTACTGTGTCACTTGGCTTCTTTACCCTGAGAAACTGATTAAAGCACAGTTTGAAGGATCCTTGTAAAGTTCCAGTAAAGCAGATCTAAAAGAGCCTATATGATCAGTTACTATTCTTGTTGTGTTCATGCAAATAATCAGGCCAAATTGAAACTGGACTTATGTGCAGCCTCTTTAATAAAATGAGAGTAAATCTTAGGGAAAGAAATTGTGTTTCAATGGAAATCACAATGTCCAACTGTCAACCACAAACTGATTAAATCCTAGTTTTTCTAGTTTTCTTGTAAGCTAATGTTTCATTTTTTTCTTTTATCCTTTGACTTGAAATTATTGAAAAGTACTAATGCAGTGTTAGCCACCCAGAATTTACCTACTATTCTACCTCTCCCTTTAGGGATTTTAAGGTCAATACCTGGTCCTGGTTTTCCTGGTTCTTTTCCTAGGATCTATAGCAGCCTTTTTCTTTATTCTTGTTTTTAGGCCATATCTCCTCAAATATCTCATATCCTTCATTCAATGGAACACCCAGGCTCTGAGAGATGCCCCCCAAAAATAGCTTCCAGCCACAGCTCTAGCTTTTCCAGCTGTCTAATCCTACCCTCTTGCCCTTAATGAGCCCTACCCAGACCCACAGGCAAGAAAAACTCTACAGCCCTCAATTGCCTGAAGCAGTTACAGAAGAACAGACCTTCATCCCTACTCACCAAAAACCAAAACTAGGCCAGGTAAATAAGAATAAATCTATTTTAAAAAGAGGGGAATGAAAGGGTAAACACAGAGGCATCTGCTGTTATGGTATCATTCTCTGAGCAGGCCTCTGACCTTGTAAACATGACTCCGATTTTACTCTTCTGAGTTGTCCCCAGGACTGGAAAACACCAGAAGCAAGAACATAACTAATCACTCCCTGTAGCCACAGGCAGAAGGTAACAATGGAACAAAAAGCAGTCTCTGCTATTTTGCCCCAACAGGCCGGGGCCACAGAACAGCAAGCCTCCACCTTGTTTTAATCCAGTTAGAATCCAATAGCAGTTCAAAGCTCCCACCCCTCAATGCTGGTGTATTTCTCCACACCATACCCCCTTCTTTCTTGGAGAGTGAATAAAAGCTTTATTCTGTACACTTTATGCTCTTGGAGAATTCTTTCACAGCCCGTGTCACTGACTACCCTTGCAACTTTTAGATGGCAAAACCAACAATCAAAATCAAAAGACCTTTTAAAAATTATAGAAGGAGGAAAATAACTGAAAAATGAAAAGCCAACCCCACACATCTAAATCAATAAGAAAAAAAGGCCTAATGAAAAATGCCAAGGAACATGGACAACTGAGTCATTAAAGAAGGGAAATGACCAAAAAATATTTTTGTAACAGAGCCCAAATCAATCACATGAAAAAATAAAGCAATTTTCTTTATTTCAATCTAGTAAACACAAGGCCTCCTTTTACTCTGCCTGCTCTTAACCCGTGAAAGAAAGTTGTGTTCATAGAAGTGAAAGAAAAAGTATGTAAACTCTACTTATATATTGTTGGTAATAAGTAAACTGGTACCACATATTGATGAATTTTTAAAAGTGGGCTTTTAAAATATTTTCTATGATCTTCCTCTAATAAATATCTATTTTATTTATAATATGAAAAAAATTGGTAATTTTTAAAAGTTGATAATTTTACTCAAATAAACCTAAAATGGCAAAACAATCTGCTTATCTTTAGAATTAAAATTAAAATTATAATAGCTTGTATTTCAGTAATCTGGTTAAAACCCCAGAGAATAGCTAATTATATAATTTTTATACATCTAGAAGGAATAAATTGACAGCTTAATAATTTAAAAATATTACAGCTCAAGTCTCATCACTATGAAATTTTAGCTGGAAATAAATTCCAACATAAAAAATATTATGTCAATAGTAGCTTTTTTCCTTTCTAGAATAGAAATAGCAAAAAATTTTTTTCGATTTCCTTTAATATAATCTAACTGTAACTATTTTCATCCTATTTCAATGATACTCCTTAGTACATTAAAAACAATGCTCATGTCATTTCATAACATCAACAATGTTAATGACAATTACCAGATATATTTCTTACATGTTTTTTCTCTAAAATTATATGATGAAAAAATAGCTCATAAAATTTTAATATGTGTGTGTACATATGAAAAGAAAACTTTATTAAATGCTTAACAGAAAAACGAGAGGAAAGAAGTTGGTTTTACACACTGTCAAACATAAAGGCAAGGCAATTAGAACACTTCATGCTCTGCTATGGATAAGACCTCACAATACACTGCACAAGCAGAAATCTTTTGTCTGTATGAAGTACTCAGCTTTTTCCTCCATAGGTTGCTTTTGTTTAAAAAAGTGAGTTAGAAGAGAACATTAAAAATGATGGTCCTCAGAGGAAAGATAAAAACTTGTTTTATAAAGTGGACAGGCCAAATAATGAACCTTATAAAGCCTATGCTAAACTTTGTAGGCGATACCAAAATATCAATTTCAGAGTAAGCCCAGCATTTATATACTGTCAAATATACATTTAATTTTTAAAAAATCAAAGAATTATATATTTAGAATCTTTAAAGCTTACAAAAGTATTACTTAAAATTTAATCACTTTTGTAATAGGTATGCTTATGTGTTCTTTCTGAGATCAAAATATAACTAAATTCATACCTCATAATCTGGTCCTCCAAAGTGGGATTTTTTCTTAAGTTCTGTCATGGCATTTTTGTAAGCTTCCTCTATTCTTCTTCTTTTCTCAATTTCCTATTAAAAAAAAACAAAACAAAGTGACATGTTTATCATTTAAAGTGGAGATTTTCTTTGCATTTCACTGAAATGTTATTATGACTTGGCCAAAAAATAACTCTACTCCTATGAAAAATGAGTATTTTTTTCTTAGCTACATATTATATACAAGCTACCATTTAAATCACCACTACAATCATCTAATAGGTAGGTTATGTATTTAAATGGTTTAAATAACTGCCAAAGTATCTATGTGTTAAAAAACATATATTATTACCAGAGGAATGCCTCCAATATATTCATATGTCTGTTTCCCCCCAAATAAAGCCAACATTCACTATGGTATAAAGAAAAAACAAACAAGTAAGTAATGGATGCCAAGAAGAAAATAACCCAATCAAGTAGAATCAATGAATGCTAAAAATACATTCTAAGAAAAAAACTGATACTGATAGACAGCCCGTCCGGACTGCTGGGAGTGTGCTGCTGAGGGAGGCGAACAGAAGGGGTCGTCAGGGAGACAGAGCTAGATCATGGGGATGGGAGCTGGGATCCAGTAGTGCACAGAGCCACACACCTGGTCCGGGATAAAGGCTGGAGGTTCAAGGACTGAGAGCATGCAGCAGGTCAAAAGAATGCCTTCATGAACCACCCACAGCAATGGCAAGCACACTGAGTTTTGTAGCACAGTGCCAGGTTGTACTTCAATGGGATTGTGAGGCTACATTGTCCATGTAAATAAGCATGTGCCTTGCAGACACCCTCCCCCTCCCACTGAGGCAGCCCCTGGCATTGCCTGAGAGGCTATGTGGGATTTGCAGGGTTCCTTTCTCTGCCAGTGTGTGCAACTTGCTGCATGCAGGGACTAAGACATGGGAGGCACAGAGTCGATGGAGCGCCAAGGGAATCTCCCCCATTCGTCATGATGGTGGCAGAGGGAGGCTTTACATTGAGCACATGAAAGGCTAACAAGATAACTGGATAAGGAGCAAAGCTCTTGCCCCCGTCCTTCCAGTACCAAATTGGGGGTGGGACCAAGGAAGGTAGGCACTTGCACCATAGAAATAAAGATGGTATGGAGAGGTGCTGGACCATAGAGGCCTGACAGTCTAGCCTGGGGAAAGAAAGGATTGGTTGGGAGGTGGACCCACCCAAAGTGTGTGAAAGTTTGGAAATTTAATTGGTCATTCTGAGAAAGCACTTGGCCTGTCCCACACCCAAAACAAAAACAGTCCTAGGGGAATGAAGAAATGCTCTCCTGCTCCTTACTTGCTGCTTGGGACCTGCACTCAAGAGGATGCAATGCCCTCTCCTCTCCATGGGCCAAGTGGCCTTAGTAGCTGCATGGCTCATGGCCTCCAGGAAGGCGTCTCTCTCTCTTGACAACCTGGTGAAGCATTCATCCATGCATCTGCACGCTCTCCCAGGAGCACACAGCTTTTCGGCCCTGGGAGCTTCATGAACATGGCTATACTAGCTCTACACAGAGTCTCCAGGAGGAAGCTTAAAGTTGGACAGCAGCTAGAAACAAGCTAATCTACCTGGATGACCATTGCCTGTGGGCTCCAAAGGTTGCTACTCTAAAATGGAGCAGAAACTTTGGGCACTGCCTTTTGTTTTAGTTATGCTGAGGTCAGCTGGGCTTTGTCTGGATTTTGCAGAGGATATGAGCTATAAGACAGAAGTCTCCCATTCTCCAAGATTGTGCAGCACAGGAATAAAACGCCTTTTCTTTTGCTTTCACACCTGCTTCGAGTTTGCCTTTTGTGGCATCAGGCAGGCAAACTCCCCATTTTGTGGTTAGTAACAAAATTTCTTATACTTTCCCACCATTGGTTAAAACTATTTTAGAGCTGAAAAAGAGCTTACATTTTTACCTAAACACTCTCCTTTTATAGACAGTCTATAACTCTAAGAAGTTAAAAAGCTGGCCCTGGCACCAATCTCACACTAATTTCAACAATGGGCTGCACTGTGTCAAATCTGATACTGAAGTCTGACAAGCTTGTAAAGAACTAATGCCTTTAGTCAAATGCCTACCACAAATACTTAAGGGCTAAAAAGTCCATACTGAACTCACACAAACTAACTACTTCCAAATACCCTCCTTGAAATAAAGTATTAGTTCATTAGTCCAAAGATTAAGTGCTTATTGTATACTCAAGAGGAAATGGGACTAAAAACCAGAATGGCTAAATATTTAAGAATATCCACAAAAAACTGATAGTATTAAGTACTGACAAGGGTGAAAAGCAACTGGAAGTCTCATCTATTGCTGGTGAGAGTTTAAGATTTTATTTATTTTTAGAGAGGGGAAGGGAGGGAAAGAAACATCAATGTGTAGTTGCCTTTCGTGTGCCCCCTACTAGGGACCTCGCCCACAACTCAGGCATGTGCTCTGACTGGGAATCTTACTGGCGACCCTTTGATTCACAGGCCAGTGCTCAATCCACTGAGCCACACCAGCCAGGGCTATTGCTGGTAGGAGTTTAAATGAATATAACCACCTCATTCATTCATTCGTTTGTTCATTTATTTTTAATCCTCACCCAAGGATATACTTATTACTGATTTTAGAAAGAGAAACATTAATGTGAGAAACACTGATCAGTTGGTTGCCTCCCATACACACCCCAATTAGGGATCAAACCCACAACCTAGGTAAGTTTCCTGACCAGGAGTTGAACCAGCAACTTTTTTCAGTACACCAGATGATGCTCCAACCAACCTAAGCAACCCAGCTGAGGTGAAACTGATGTAACCACTTTAGAAAACTGTTTCTCAACATCCACTAAAGCTAAGCACATACCTCATGAATCAACAACTGTACTCCTAGGTATGAGGTCTGTGCAGAAAATGTTCAGCTATTATTAATATAACAAGAACGGTTTTGCACGACAGTGATGTAACCTGGCAGCCAAGGAGAGTGGACTGGAATGTGCATGCATAATGATGAATTTACTGTACTAGTCAGTAGGGGCTGCAGACCCACTGAGTGAGAGTGTGTACTGTGTGGCTGCTGCATTAAAAATGAACGAGGAGAGAAATGAATCTGCATTAAATTTTATATTAAGCTTGAACATTCCTCCATGGAAAGTATTCTGATGATTCAGAAGGCTTTCAAGGATGACGTAATGAGTACAATACAAATAGAAGTGTGGCACAAATGCTTCCAAGATGGTCAAGAATCTGTTGAAGGTGATCTGTGTTCTAAAGGCCTGAAACAAGCAGAACACCTGAGAATGTTGAATGTATACAGGCTACAGTCAACAAAGACTGGAGACTGGCAGTGTAAGAACTAGAAGCTGATCTGGGGACTCCAAAATCTACTGTGTCCAGATTCTGATGCAGGATCTTGGCATGAAACATGTTGTGGTAAAATTTGTTCCACAGTTTCTGCTACCAGAGCAGAAGGAACATCATGATGCAGTTGCTAATGACCTGATTCAATCAGCTACCAATGAACCAGGTTTCCTCAAGAAAGTCTTAACTTTGGAGAGGACTGAAGTGTCACTGTCTTATGTGCATGTTTCTTGTGTCTTCTTCAATAAATGTCTCTATTTTTCAAGGTACAGGACTGGATACTCTCTGGACAGACTTCACACCCAAGAAAAATGAGTGCATATGTCCACCATATGCACAAGAATGTTCACAACAGCCAAAATACAAAAACCAAAATGTCCATCAACAGGAAAAACAAATAAATTGAAGTCATACAATGAAATACTACACCACACTAAAAATGAATAAATTACCACTAAATCTAACAATATGAATAAATCTCACAGTCAATATTGGCTTGGGGGAGGGGGAGGAATAGACATGAGTGTTTATTGTATGAATTCATTTATATGCTGTCCAAGAACAAACAAAAACAATTTGTGATTATGTAAGTTAGATTCTCTTGAGATGGTGGCATAAACGGGTAGGGGAATGAAAGAACCTTTTTGGGTGCTATGAAAGTTCTATATGTTGATCTGAGTGGTGGTTACAGGGGTATATACAAATGTACAAAAATCATCAAGCAGTACACTTCAGATTGGTTCACTTCACTGTATGTATGAACATATCTTAACTGAAAAGTAAAAAACAGCATAGCACTATATTAAAAAGACTTATGGAAAGTGAAAAAGCATGTGAAATTACACACTTGTGAGTCTATTATGATAAGCAGACACCTAAAATGAATGTTTTTACGCAGTGAGATTAGATATGACTTAAAATAATGATCCCTTAGTGAAGGATAAAGAGACTAAAGACACAAAGTTCTAAATAAACTAATCTAAATGAGTTAAATGATTCTCTTCAACCATTATTCTAATAGATTTAAGGGGTTGTCTTATTTTCTCAATACATTATTTTTTTGGTGTATAGGGAATCTTCTAAAATTTCAGTTTCGGTCACACTGGTATAGAGTTGAAATCTCTGAATATAGAATAATATGGCTCCAAAATAATGATGAAATGCTTGTACCTTAGAAGGATGTTTCTATGCCTAATTGAAAGAATACATATGCACATTCTGTCAGCCAATATAGTGTACTGCACTTGAGAATTCTGAACAATTCTCTTTTTTTCTAAACATGAGGACCTACTTAAGTAAACAGTGATATTCAAATCCTGTGGCCATTCTGCCATTATATCAGTGATGACGTTGTTTTCTTTCTTTAGTGTCCTGCTCAAATTGATAAGATCTTCAAATACTGCAAACAATAAGACTCTCTGACGAGTAAGAGTCTGACTGATGTCTGGCCTAGTATCTAGAACTAAAATACAGAAAACAGTAAAATTCTTTTAATTCTGCTACGTAACACCTCTGGACAAGTCTCTGGGCCCCAGTTCCTCTTCTCTATTATGGTAGCCCTGGACTAGAGCTAAATAAATTCTCTAAGGTATGTTTTGGTTCTAACATTTTACAATTTTACTGATGTTGAATTATAAACAAAAATATTCCTACTGAACAAATTCACTAAGCTATACTTTATACCAGAAACTAAATATTCATATTGCAATGTTATTAGTGCTACAGATAAACAGAAAGCAAATGTTTACTGAATATAATGTATGATGAATGATACTACAAATGACCTTGAAAAATATACATAGCTACAAATGGAGTAAGTTAATATTTAACTTGATTAATTAGTGTTTAAGTTAGTTCATATGTCTTAAATGCAGCTTCATATATCACACAATAAAGCTAGATAATGTTAAATGACTCATCATTTCTATTTCAAAGTATTACTATTAGCATTACAAAATGTTAATATTAAAATCCTATCAAGAATGCACACACTACAGTAACTAAATACTTATCTGGTAAATCTCATTAGCACAACTACTGGGTTAAGATGCCCACAAGTTTCAGGGGAGTACTACCACCTGATACTTCTATCAGTCCCAGTACATTTTTTCCTAAGAAGTTACTTTGGTTTAAACATTCAATTCATACATAAAACTTAGGTAAAATCTGATTATTTTTTCCTGTGCAACCCCGCTCCGCCAGCTGCTGGTTTCTCCCCTTACCGGTCAGGCTGAAGAATTTGTTGTTAACAGACTTTTGAAAAGTTCAATTTTCTGTGTTCTGGCTGTGTTTTCTGTTGCTAATATTTAGTTGTCTCTAAACTTGGTTGTGTGAGAAAGCACGGCGTCTCCCCCTTTGGCTCCATCTTGGCCTGATTATTTTTTAAGAGAAAGAAAAACGAGGCTTACCTTATCCAGTCTCTTTTGCCAGCTGTCCTCACGTTTTACCATTAGTTCAATACAATGAGAAAGTGTAGCAAGGATTCCAGCAGTAGTGGCTTTAAAAGTTATTGCCTCCCCTTTAAAGTCTATGCCATTAATTCCTTTTGGTGTTACCTGTGGAAACACTGAAAAAGAACGTTATTCACTGAAAATCTTTCCAATGAAAAAATAATTCTTTGAAACTTAAAATTAAAAACTGTTTGGAGAACTAGCAAGTCAGAGTAAACTTTCAGAATATATACTGCCTCGTCTTGGCAAACATTAAGGAATTTCCATTCACACTCTATCATCAAAGAAGTTTGTAGCAGCAAATAGTCCTTTTTTTCTAGATTCTGTTTTCTGAAACCTATTTTCTGTGCTGTACTCAGTGAATAAACTTATAGGAGTAATACTTTAATAATAATACTGACAGCTTAGAGTATGGCCTATTTATGGCAAGAACTATGTTACATTCTGAGAAACCTAGAATTTAAAAAATATCTAAAGATAAACTGCACAGTTGAATAAAACAATATAAAAATTTTAAATAAATGTTCACATTTAAGTCCAAGACCAATGCACACATTAAATCATTTTTTATGTTCATATTTCATAATATTAATTAGGAGTTAGCCTTTGAATGAACAAGAACATAGTATTCTACTATTAGCTACTACAAAAACATTGCAATAGAACTCTTATAAATGAAATACGGATACTTCTACCTTTAAAAACTCGTATGTAGACATGACAGAAAAATACAATTCATAATAGAACTGATAAACTACTTCACTGAAATTTAAAATGTATGCTTTTCAAGGCATAGTTAAAAGAATAATTGCAGTTATGTGAGATGGGTAAGTCTAGAGATCTAATACACAGCATGACTATAATTAATAATGCTGCACTGAGTACTAGAAATTTGCTAACAAGTAGATTTCAGGTGCTCTCATCACCAAGAAAAGGTAATTATGTGAGACAATGTTAATTAGTTTGACTACAGTAATCATTTTTGTATGTATGCCAAATCATCACATTGTATACCTTAACTGAGAGAAAATCTTTGTAAAGTCTATGTCTGATAAAGGATTTATAACCTTTATAAAGCTACATTATAGATCAATATAGACTATTAACATAGTCTATATTACAATATAGACTATATTGTAATCCCCAAACTCAAAAACAAGAAAATATATAACCTAATAAAAAACTGGACAAAAAATTTGAATACACATTTCACCAAGGAAGAGATGACAGATAAGCACATACAAAGATGCTCAATACCATTAGTTATGGTAGAAATGCAAATTAAAAACCACAGTGAGATACCCCTACAATGTATGAGAAGACTAAAATGTAAAGACTGGCCATGCCAAGTGCTGACTGAGATTTGCAGGAACTGGGCCCTCCTACATGGCTGTTGAAATATACTTTGGCAGTATCTTGAAAAGTTGAGCATACCTCTACCATATAGTTCAGCCACCCCACTCCTAGATATTTACTCCAACGAACAGATGAGTGAGTACACAAACTGTGGTGTATCAACATAAAGGCATACTACTCAGCAGTAAAAAGCAATCAAATACTGATAATATGTGATAACAATGATGAATCTCAAACTAAGAAAAAAGCGAGGACAAAAAACCCATAACCTGTGTAAGTCCATTTGTACTGAATTCTTAAAAATGCAAACTAACCTACAATGACTTAGAAAAGAGATCAGTGGTTGTTTGGGAAGAGAGGAGATGACCAAGGGGATGTAGGAACATTTTTTGAGGGTGATGGACACAATAATAGTCTTTTTCAAGAAATCCTTACCTATTTTTATTGATTTTAGAGAGAGAGGAAAGGAGAGAGAGAAACACTGATCACTTGTACCCCTGTACCACACATTCCCTGACTGGGGATCAAACCCACAACCTAGGTCTGTGCCCTGACTGGGAATTGAACCCATAACCTTTTGGTATATGGGACAATGCTCCAACCAACTAATTCACTGGGCTGGGGCAATAATGACCCTAATTGTGGCAAAAACATCAAAACTTACCAAATTGTACATTTAAATATGTATGGTTTATTGTATGTTAATTATATCTTAATAAAGCTGTTAAAAACACATTATTTTATATATATATATATATATATTTTTTTTTTTTTTAAAGATTTTATTTATTTACCTTTAGAGGGGAAGGGAAGGAGAGGGGGAGAGAAATATCAATGTATGGTTGCTTCTTGTGCGTCCCCTGCTGGGAACTGGCCTGCAATCCAGGCATGTGCCCTGACTTGGACCTGAACCACAGTTGTTTGGTTTGCAGGCCCGTGCTCAATCCACTGAGCTACACAAGCCAGGGCAAAACATATTATTTTATTTTCATACTTTCCCTTAAAACTTTTCTGTCATTGTAACTTCTATATTTTCTACCACTCATGCCAAGATTGTGTTTTTCTTTTAACTGCTTTTATTAATAATCAACTTAAACACTGAAGTCATCTGTGTCCTATATAAGATACTGCGTGCAACTGTGTAACAGTGGACCCTCCCTGATAAATCCTTCTTAATTTACACACCTGTCAGTACAAGATGAAAGAGCAACGTGAAATGTCTTTGAAAAAACTCCAGAAATAGAGAAATGTGCTGTTTCAGCTGCACTTAATACTTTCAGCAGACACCTGAAATCCTTTCAAGAATTATATAGGGGTTATGTAACAAATTTTTAGGCTTTCACATAGTTGACATTTTCAACATTTAGTGTTTCACACATAGTAAAGTCTCTGAAATGAATGTCTCATGTTACATTCTGTTTGGAAATGGAAGTATGAAGAAAAGAAGTCATCTTAATTGGCCATCCACTGGGCTCCTCTAAGTACTGATTACTTGGATTTTTGTTCCAAGTCTCTTATACCTTATATTGTAAAACTATATTAACACTGATAGTAAAACTTAAGCAAAATCTCAAAATATTGATAATTTTAGATGAGCAAATGTATCTAATATTGCAGCTAAAAATAAGGAAAAGATGATCTTAAAAAGACAAGCTGACCATGTTTACCAGAATAATGATCATTTTAGTAAAAGAAGTAAAAAATATGTGAATGTAACCAAGCATATAAATGGCAGAAACAAAAGAAAAAAAATCTATAACTTTCAAAGCACTTAGGCTCCAAAAATTATCATTCAGATTTATAGTTCTTTCAGTTGACCTCTGCTGCACACACTTCACTAATCTTTTTTTAAAAAAGACTGTATTTATTTTTAGAGTGAGGGGAAGGGAGGGAGAAAGAAAAGGAGAGAAATATCAATGCACGCATGAGAGATACATCAACTGGCTGCCTCTCACATGCCCCAAATTGGGGACCTGGCCTAAAACCCCGGGAAGCCCTGACTGGGAATCAAACCTGTGACCTTCCAGTTAGCAGGTTGGTGCTCAGTTCACTAAGCCACACCAGCCAGATAACTTCAATAATCTTTTAGAGGTACTAACATTCAGACAGTCAGGGAACCTGTAAGATAACGTCAGAAAAAATGGTGGTAGAAGCACTGTAATCCCTTCTTTTCATTAAGACTCTGAAATACACTCTTTTGAATAGCAGACAACCTAAGGGGCAATCCTCACAGTTTCTATGCTCAGGAGTTTCTCGTTTCTGCACATGAAGAATATATTCCAAATGACCATGCACCCCCACCATACAGGGGCAGAAAAAAAATGGTGTAAAAGTCCTTCTGAACATACAGGATGACAAATTTATTTTAATCTCTCCTCACCTGTCTACTATGACCCTGATATCACTTACAATAGGGTCAAAAAATCAATTGGTTTGGGACTACTAGCCTATTATAGATTTGATTATTCTAAAGAAATAAATTACATTTGGCTAAGAAACTATATTTAAAATTCTCACATGAAAAAATCTGTGAGCTAGGCCTGGACAGCATGGATCAGTTGGTTGGAGCACTGAACCGTAACCAAAGGGTTGCAGGTTTGATCCCCAGTCAGGCCACACATACAAATCAACCAATGAATGCATGAATAAGTGCAATAACAAATTGATATTTCTTTCTCTCTTGTCCTCTCTCTCTACAATCAATAAATTAGTAAGAAAATATTACAAATAAAAGTTTACTCTTATATTTTTTCTAAGATTTTTCTTAGCTACTTAATTCATTTTGAGTACATTTCTGTCCTCGGTGTGAGGTAGGGGTTCAACTTCATTTTTTTTACATACTGAAATCCATCACTTGAAAAGACCATTTTTCCTCACTGAATTGTCTTCACACTCCTGTGAAAAACTGATTTACTGTAAATGTGTTTATTTCTAAACTCTCAATTCTATTCCACTAATGTATATGTCTCTGCTTATGGTAGTACCATACTTCATTGCTGTTTTTGTACTAAGTTTTGAAGCTGGAAGTCTAGGTCCTTCTACTTTGTCCGTTTTCAAGACTGTTCTATTCTGAGTCATCTGTATTATATGGATCCGAAGTGAATTACAGGATCAGCTGTCCACTTTTACAAACAAACAAACAAACAAACAAACAAACAAACAAACAAACTACCTGGGACTTCAGTAAGGACTCTATTAAATCTATAGGTCAATTTAAAAAATACTGAATTCTTTTATTTTTCCTTCTTTTTTATTGTTGTTCAAGTACAATTGTCTCCACTTTCTCCCCTCCACTACCTCCCAACCCTAGCCATAGTGAATACTTAACTCTTAATAATATTAAGTCCCATGAACATAGGGCATCTTTCCATTTATTTAGGTCTTCCTAAATTTTTTCTAATGCTTTGTTATCTTCAGAGTAGAAGATTTGTGCTTCTTTTGTAAAACTTAGTCCCTTTTGATGCCATTGTAAATGAAGTTGGTTACTAAATTTTATTATCACAATGTTTGGTGCTGGTGTATTAAAAATACAACTGATTTTTAATATTGATTTTATATACACCCTGCAATTTTTCTGAACTTATTTATCACCTCTAAGTTTTTTTGGTGAATTCCTTATATTTTCTCTATACAAAATAATGGCTTCTTCAGAATATATGTCTTTTATTCCTTTTACTTTTTAAAAATTATTTTATTGTTGTTCAAGTACAGTTGTTTCCATTTACTCCCCACCACACCCTCCCCCCACCCCAGCCAAACC